GTAATTGATTTGATGTCTATGAGAGATAGTGATTTTGGAAAGTAGGTAACCAAACAAAATTTTGAAATTTTTTTTAGAAAAATTTGTTTGATTTGATTACTCTTGAAAATTTGTTTGTAGAGAATTTTTCCTAAAAATTTTTCTGAAAAACAAACCAAACAAGGTTAATCTTTGAATAAAGTGTATTTTGTAGTATTATTAATTAATATAGATATTTCAACCTAGTATTTTTTATTACAAAAATAAGATATTACAGACCGGGCATGCTATTGCTTCATTTGTTTATGTGGAAAATATTTTGTACGGAAAATTTTTTTTAGAAAAACATTTTTCTATGTTTGGTAGTGGTGGTGGTGGAGTGATAGTGGGGGCAGAGGTTCTGGCATGGTGGTGGGGCGGCGATGAAGGTGATAGCAATGTTCGTGGTGATGGTGGTATTGGTAAAATTTTAGTCCGAAAAATATTTTTTGCTTTCTAAAAATAAAAAATATTTTATGTTCACATAGACTTATTTTTTATTGACCATAAAAAATGTTTTTCGTTGATTTTCATTTTTCATTCTACCAAATGCTAAAAAATACGAAAAATATTTTTCATAAAATATTTTTTGCCTAAACAAACGGAGCATATATGTAATGATTCTACCATTAACGATAATAGAAAATAAAATGAAAAATCAATCATGACCACTACCTACATTTTACAAAATTGTGCACCACAAATAGGCTTTAATAAAGAGACCCGCGAACCCATAGAAAGATATTACATGCCGTTGTGGAAAAAAAATGATTTGTTGAGATGAAAAAAAAAATGTAAATAAAAATGAAGTAGGAGAACCCAAATTCCAAATTAACAAATTCAAACTTAAAAATGATCTTTTTGATTCTCGAAGAGCGAGGGGCAAAGGGATTTGATCGATTGAAACATGGAAGAATTGAAAGAAATGCAGAGAATCGACACAATGAGCATGAAGTCCACTGTCTATGTCTATCTTGTACACTTCTTTCTATGCCTATAACATAATTGTTAAATTTTCACCTCTTATATCAAAATGTTATTCAAAATCTGAAGCTCACACTCTCATTTACTAGATGAATTACATTTCTTATTGAGTTAGTCTGTATATACAAAATTACTTACATATATAAAATTAAAATTCAAAAAAAGTCCCAACACCATGTTGCATTCTTGCAGAGAAATTTCACAAGAATACTGCAAAAGGGCCAGGGATGTGGCAAGTGAATTACTCAAAGGGATATCTATGAGCTTGGGATTGGAAGAAAACTACATAGATAAAGCAATGGAGGTTGAATTTGGGTCACAACTTCTTGTTGTCAATTTTTACCCACCATGCCCACAACCAGAGTTGGCCATTGGCATGCCTCCTCATTCGGACCACGGCTTATTGACCCTCCTCATACAGAACCAGCTTGGTGGACTTCAAGTCCTACACAATGGCAAGTGGGTCCCTATTAATCCTCTTCCTAATTCCATTCTTGTGAATACTGGAGATCACATGGAGGTAAATATATTATTACATTCCTTTGTCATGCTATTATGGTAGTAAGGTTTAAATTGGTGTTTGGTTACGAAGAAGTATTGTAGTGTTTGGTTACCTGCCATTATGGTGGTGGTTCTAGTAAATTATCAAATTAAAATTGGTTATATTTTGTTGTGATTTCTGATTACTTTCCAAAAGAACGTTAGTTACACCTCATTGTGGTGAATTAAGTAAGATGATCAATTATGCCTCAAAATAGCATTAATTACAACCAAATGTAGCTATGACAAATGGTTCAGGTTCAACTTTTAAATCCAACGACTGAATAGTGAGAATGCAGATGGTATGTAATTTTTTGGGAGTTGTCTAGTCTAGGGCGTCAGCACATGTAAGTCACAGTATTCAATTGAATATTAACTTCTGCTTTTTCTTCTATATACATGTAGATGATATATATGTAAATCAACTCACTCAAATGGTTCAGGTTCAACTTTTAAATCCAACGACTGAAAAGTGAGAATGCTGATGATATGTAATTTTTGGAGAGTTGTCTAGTCCAGGGCGTCAGCACATGTAAGTCACAATATTCAATTGAATATTAACTTCTGCTTTTTCTTCTATATACATGTAGATGATATATATGTAAATCAACTCACTCCTTGTAATTTGACTACCCCAATTCATAGATTTTGATTACTCATCTTACACATCTTGAACACCCACTCACTTCAACTTTTGCAAATCCATTCTTATAACTCACAATATCTTTTAATTTTGATGATGAAATACTATAAAACAGACAAAAACATCCATGAAATGAAGTATATATGGTATAATTAATACAATTTTGAGGTATATGTCTACTTTGGGGCATATTCAAATATCACTTTTGGTGATAACCAAGGTTGATCCCACTTTGATTTGATCATAGGTTGGCACTATGACAAGTTGAAGTTATAACAAACACCACACTGAATATAACTTGTAGACGGTCATATTATTATGAGCACAAAAACAAAAAAGTCACATGAATAGACAAGATTGTACAAGATTTGTGTATAGAATTCATTTCTGAAAATGTGTTTTCCATGTAATACAAATGTGCTTCTGATTTAATTTGTTTCATGGAAAATTATTTGTCGCATTTGGTAATATCAATTGTTATGGTATATTGCAGATACTGACCAATGGCAAATACAAGAGTGTTGTACACCGAGCCATGGTGAACAACAAAGCAAACAGGATCTCCATAGCAACATCTCATGGACCTCCACTTGATAAAGTTGTAAGTCCTGCCCAAGAGTTAGTGGACACTGATTTCCATCCCATTGCATACCATGGAATTACATATAGGGGGTATTTGGAGCTTCAACAAAGCAATGAACTCAATGGTAAATCTTGCCTGGATCGGATCCGAGTTTGAAAGAGAAAACCCGGGTGGTGGTGGTGGTGGTTGGGGGTGGTGGTGATTGAACTCAATATTTGATCCTACTATAAAAATAGTAAGTGACCCGATCGAATTATATAAAACTCAGGTTTTACACTGTCAATAAGGTTGATTTTCTATGTTGCTTCATCTCTCTCGACATCAATAATCAAGCATAACAAAAAGAAAAAATCAACTCTAGCAAAGGCAAACGAAATATGGTGAGCTTGTGGCACACTTGAAAGGTCTGGAGTGTTATTTTTTTCTTCTTCAGTTTAAAACTTCAATGATCTATGGATATTGTATTTTGTTTTTATGATTGTTAATGGTCACATATATAATAACAATAAGATGTGTTTGATATTGTTGGCAATGATATTATCATTCAAAACACTACTAGAAAACAGGGCTTTTGAGTCGGCAGCGTGCCGTCGCAAATAGTGGATTTGCCGACGCAAAAACTTTTTGCGACGGCGTTTCGACGGCAACTCAAGGGACGAAAATGGTGGGGTCGCAAAAAGTTTTTGAGTCGGCAATCTGCCGACGCAAAAAGTTTTAATTTTTTGAGACGGTAGATTGCCGACGCAAAAAGTGGTTAAATGTTTTAAAAAATTTAACTCACAATTTTCTCAAGGCTCCCAAGGTTCGAACACACACCCATTTAGACAAGTTGACCCAGGAGGAGGTGTATAATTCTGAGTCATAATGGTGTTGTCGAGCTGGACATGGATTGATCCAACACAGGAATGGGTCCGTTACTTGACTGGACCAGCCGATAACTGTGATAGCTATAAACTGTGCAGTCCGAATGGTAACTGTAACGTTGGAAACTCACCAGCCTGTGGTTGTTTGAGTAAATTTGTGCCCAGAACCAAATGGAGATTGGTCTAATGGGTGTGTTCGGAGGACCTCATTGGATTGCCATAATGGAGATGGATTTTTTTTTGATCGGCAAAGAAAAACTTTATTGATGAAAGTATGCAAAAAGGATACAGGACATCAATAAAGTGGAGCTTGGAGCTAACTGAAGCTCCAAGCGCCAGTTGGTGAGAAACCAACAGCAACACAAAAAGAAACAGAAAAAGCCTACACAGAAGAGATAAGCACCAATCTGCAACTGGAGACAGATAAGAAACAGACTAAACAGGAGATAGATAAGCACCAATCTACATTATTGGTAAAACACCAAAAGAGGGAACCATCCTGTTCAGAAAGAGAATCACCATCTGGGCTTGAAGTTCCATTCCACACTACCATTGCTGAGAAACTATACCAATCCCCACACAGATTCAGAGCAAAAATGCAGCACTCAGATTGAGACCAATTCACTGTTCTGATAAATCTGGATAGCAACTTCACAGCAACAACCTATGCATAGCAACCAACAGCAGACCCAGCACCAACACAGCAAACTCAACCCAGATCTAAACCCAACCCTGAACTAGCATCACACTGACTCACAGAGCAGGCCACAGAGATACAGAACCCAAGCTGATGAACTTCCAACCTGCAGCCTAATGTGATGAACCAGCCATATCTCCATCCCCTCAGACCTCCTGATAACCCAAGAGTGGTCCCAGCAACTACCATACCTCTGTTCTGCCTGAGCCGATTGCTGAGAAGACTTCACACAAGCAACCTAATCTGGTATAGGTTTGAAACTAAGTCATGGACTAAATAATCAACCTTGAATGACTACTTCACCCACAGAGCAATCTGAAGTTTCATCCATTCACATAATCCTGCAAAATCTGGAGTTTCTCCCTTAAATATACACTCATTTCTTGTCTTCCAAACTGACCACAACACTAATGCTGGGACTGCCTGCCATGCTCTATCGGCCCAAGACTTTGCTATACCCCCTGACCACCAATGGAGTAGGCCCTCAACTGAACCAGGGATGACCAGATTCTGATCCCACCAGCTAGCCATGGCTGCCCAACACTTCCAAACCAGAGGACAAAACTACAACACATGCTCCAAAGACTCCTCCGCAGATTGACAAAATACACACTGGATCTGAGCATTGGGAGGTAGAACCCCTATCCTTTGGAGGAAGGAAGATGTCTTAATTCAACCTCTCCAAGCAAGCCAGCAGATAAACTGCATCTTTGGAGGAGCCAAACTTGCCCAGACCCCAGCTGGCACCTTCAAACCAGGGCCTTTGTTTACCACCCACCAACTCCATAGAGATGAAACAGAGAACTTCCCAGTCTTTGAAATAAGCCAAGAACAAGAGTCTTCAAATTCCTCTCTGAGCTCAGGGGATGATTCCAGAGTTGCATACAATCTCTGCAGCTCCTCTTCCTTCCATGCCAGCAACCTTCTTCTAAATTGAAGCTGCCACACCCCAAGGCTCCTCTTGGCACTAATTTGTTGCAAGGATTCTTCATTCTCAGTGGATAGACTAAATAATCTGGGGAACTCCTCATTCAGACCTCTTCCATTCATCCAAGTGTCTAACCAAAACTGGATTCTCCTCCCATTTCCCAATGCTAGCCTTAAATTCTGTTTATAAATCTCACCCAAAGACTGATTAAGTGAATAAAGCAGCACTATATCCTTCCATACGGTAGATGCCCCATCTATGTTATGCAAAGTTGGTAACCAACCCCCACCAAAATAACCATACCTTGAGCAAACAACTGATTTCCACAAAGCTTTATTCTCTGCACCGAATCTCCACCACCATTTTAACAACATACAATCATTCACCTCACCCAAATCTCTCACACCCAAACCCCCTTGATTTTTATTCTTAGTAACCTCCCCCCAATTAACCAAGTGAACATTCCTCCCAGCTTTAGATCCACCTCACAAGAAATTGGCTTGGATTTTCACTAGAGCCTTAACAATCCCTTTAGGCATCTTGAACAAAGATAGAAAGTACATAGGCAGGTTAGATAGGACTAATTTTATTAATGTCAAACGCCCGGCAAAAGACAGGAGTTTCCTCTTCCAAGAAGACAGCCTCTTACTCACCTTATCCAGAATTGGGTTTCAAGTACTCTTTCTCCTCGGGTTGGCCCTAAGAGGCAGTCCTAAAAAGTTAAAAGGTAATTTCTTCGATAGACAATTCAATCTTTGGGCTAAACCCTCGATTTCATCATCTTGGAAGCCCACTCCACATACAGCACTCTTGTGGTAATTTATTTTTAAACCCGACATCACTTCAAAACACCTCAACACCCTTTTGATATTTATCACCTCCTCCTGACCTCCTTCACAAAACACTATGGTGTCATCTGCGAACTGGAGATGAGAGATGCGCAAATCATTACTACCAACTGAGGCTCCTCTGAACAAACCCTTCTCCACTGCCCTTGCTAATAATAGGTTAAGAGCTTCCGCTGCGATTATGAACAGAAAAGGAGAGAGGGGGTCACCCTGCCTTAGCCCCTTCTGTGGCTGGAATTCCTCTGTAGGTGAGCCATTAACCAACACGGAAACCCTGACTGAAGAAATGCAATTTCTCATCCAAACTAACCACTTCTCACCGAAACCCAAATTATTCATCATCGGCCACAGAAATTCCCAATTAAGTGAGTCATAAGCTTTTTCGAAATCCAATTTTAGAATTATACCTCGCTTTTTTGATTTCTTCCATGCATCTACAACTTCATTTGCTATGAGCACACCATCCAGAATTTGCCTACCGCTCACAAAAGCAGACTGAACCTCATTGATCACAGAAGGTAATACTTTCCTAAGCCTCCTTGAGAGCAGTTTAGCTAAAATTTTATAGACAGAGTTCGCCAAGCTGATAGGTCTATAATCCCCCAAGCCTATGGGGTTATCCTTCTCGGGTATAAGAACTATGAAAGAGCTGATAACCCCTCTAGATAGCTTACCATATTGATGAAATTCATTCACCATACTTAAGATCTCCCCTTTCAATATAGGCCAACACCTCTGGATACAATTAAGGTTGAAGCCATCTGGGCCTGGTGCTTTGTTCCCATCATAATCCTGCACTGCTTCCCACACCTCCTCTTCAAAGAAACCGGCTTCCAGAGTAACAGCATCCACTGAATTAATAACAGCAAAAGGGCCCTTAATTATTGGCCTTATTTTCCAATTCTCCGAGAATAGCTGACTGAAGTACCTTACTACTTCAAGCTTCACCTGACCCGGTGTCACGACCCCATTCCGCCCCTAGTAGAATGGTGCCATGATGGCCAGTAATCCGAGATTTACTGAAGGCCAACTTTCTAAATTCACACACAATCAGAGTATTACATATGGGGCTAACATGTGCGGAAACAATATATACAAATTTAATTAGTCCATAAGAGCTGTGCATAAGTTAAATGGAATGGCATACATTCGTTCATAGCTTTAATACAACAAAATGAAGTACAATAAATACATCTTGACCAAAAGGCTTCTCAGCTATCAAACACAAGATACAATAAAATACAACTAAGAAGCATAATCTTCAAGATGCGGCAAAAGTGCATAATCCAAAACAAGTAGCAAGTACATCTAGGCGTCACCGCCGTCCTGCTCGTCACCTACATATATGTAGAGAGGGGTGAGCTTGGATACTCAGTGAATGGTATAAATAATAAAGGGGTTTGCATGAATGATATCCGAAATCTATATCAAATCAAGGCACATCACATCTTGTACAAAATCCAAGGGCAAATCAAGTTTATCTAACAATCTTTCAGGTCTCAATAATTTAAGTCTTTCAAGTTCCAAGAGGTGACATTAACAAAGGTTGTGCTACAAATGCTTATAGTCCCTTAGCACGTACGGACTTTTCAAGAAAATGCTTAAAGTCCCTTAGCACGTACGGACTTGTCAAGAATGTTATCAAAATCAAAGCTAAAACTTGATACACAAAATAGAGATAGTCATTCATGCTTAACAAATACTTTTTCAAAGCAAGCAAGGCAAAGCTTTATCAAATGTCATAACATAGCTTTATTAAAAATACCACTCACATAGCTCTTCAAACGTCGGGGTCAAGCCAAGTCCAAGTCCTACAAACACATGGCAAAGTTTGTGGTGTTTTCTAAGATTGATTTGAGATCTGGGTATCATCAGCTGAAGGTTAAAGCAGAGGATGTTGAGAAAACCGCATTCAGAACGAGGTATGGTCATTTTGAGTTTCTAGTTATGCCATTTGGAGTGACTAATGCCCCGGCAGCATTTAAGACTGATTCAGGAAATGGCAGAAGCTTTGAGACAGCAACAGGAGTGGCAACAACAGCGGCAGCAACCACACCCGCCACCTCCACCTCCGGCACCACCCGTGCCAGATCCAATGCCTAGAAGTGCTTGTACTGGCTGGATTACTTACGGACTCGGATGCTCTAGATTCTGCCATTTTTTAGAAACTTCAATTCAAAAAACTGACCGTACAGATGTGTCCGGAATACTCCAAATAGTTGGGAAGCACTATTGGATCGTCAAAAACGGACTCCGAATGGCTCCGATCTGGCAAAAACACTTTGGACGGGTCAGATCTGCAGAATCTGGTGCGCTGAGATGCACCGGATAATTTCTCCGGTCAACGGCTGGTCAACGGCTCGGTCAACGGCGCAGGCGGCGCGGTCAACGGAGGATCGGCGGCGCGGTCAACGGCTTGACGGCTGGTCAACGCGGCTGGTCAGCGGCTCAGGCTGACTGGGCTGACACGTGGCTGACACGTGGCCTGACTGTCGGACGCGTGGCGATGACGTGGCGGATGGCTCGACTTCTTCCTGGAGACGCGCGTGTGGCGCGTGGGTGAGATTGGGGATCACGCGCCGGTGCCCGAACGGCGCGTGTGGGAGCGTGACGCGACTGGGAGTCACGCTCAAACTTCTCGGGGCGCGTGAGAGCGCGTTGAAGCTCCTCTGGGCTCTGTGTTTGCTGTTTTGGACTCCTCTCGGGGAGTTCTTCCTCCTGGTATGGTCAAAAGTGGATTTTGAGTACTTCGAAATCTGGGCACTTACGGGAAAAATTCGATTTTTCGCAACCCGAGCTCTGATACCAATTGTTGTGAATCGGGGGCACACCAGGGAACTCAAACAAGCAATAACACACAAGTTTTAACGTGGTTCGGCAAGTCGCCTACGTCCACGGGCAGCGGATTAACTATATTGAACAAAATGGTAAGAATTACACACTCTCTGTAATTCTCTCTCTCTTTGCTCTCAACTCACACCTCTCAGCTCCAATTCTGATGATCTATATCCTCTCCCTCCCGTCTTATTTATACACAAAGGAGTAGGTGGGAGAGCCTTCATTCTTGACTTTTGACATGGTTGGTGGCCACCAAGCTTGACTTGGTTGGTTGTCTTCCATTGTTGACATGAGGATCACCCCTTTCACATGGGGTGACCTCCAGAATCTGTAGGCGCGTGTGAAGGCTTCTTGGCTCTGTTTTTGCTGTTCTGGACTCCTCTCGGGGAGTTCTTCCTCCTGGTATGGTCAAAAGTGGATTTTGAGCACTTCGAAATCTGGACACTTTCGGGAAAAATTCGATTTTTCGCAACCCGAGCTCTGATACCAATTGTTGAGGATCGGGGGCACACCAGGGAACTCAAACAAGCAATAACACACAAGTTTTAACGTGGTTCGGCAAGTCGCCTACGTCCACGGGCAGCGGATTCACTATATTGAACAAAATGGTGAATTACAACACTCTCTGTAATTCTCTCTCTCTTTGCTCTCAACTCACACCTCTCAGCTCCAAATCTAATGCTCTATATCCTCTCCCTCCCGTCTCTATTTATACACAAAGGAGTAGGTGGGAGAGCCTTCATTCTTGACTTTTGACATGGTTGGTGGCCACCAAGCTTGACTTGGTTGGTTGCCTTCCATTGTTGACATGAGGATCCCCCCTTTCACATGGGGTGACCTCCAGAATCTGTAGCCAATATTCAACAGCAGAAGAGCTAAGATTGCAATGTGATCATGAGTACGTATGACCTTGCCACTTTCTTGGTGACTATAATATACCTGCTTTTAGTACTGAAATTGCCACAATTCTGTACTAGTCCGACAAACTTTAGTTTGTCCTGTGACATATAAATCATAAGGACTTAGATATGTTATCCTTCACCCAGATGATCACATTCTTCAACACTGACATTTTGAAGGTGATAAAAAAACAGTTGTAGTTCCTGTCAAGCATCATGATTTCAGTATCAACTGCAAATTCTTTTCTGCATTGGTTTTGATCCCGTTTCATGTTTGAATTCTCTCAAGTTGATTATCTCAATTTGAGAGAGCGTTTGGGCTTGGTGTGCTCATTTTGGGGTCAACCTTAGTGATCTAAACAGTTCACTTTTTAACTTATTGAGTAGAATATTCATGCAAAAAATTAATTAACATGATCAAATATCAATAGCTATATGTTTAAATCACATTTGTATTACTAATGGAGTTTTGTGTAGATTTAAAAAAAAAAAAAAAAACCTCCTGAATTTTAATTTTTTCCAGATACTATACTGGTAGCAAAGCTACAAAGTTACACTATCAGAGCCTTAGAGGCTTATCTATTTCCCAAGGAGAGCAACATTGTTTACATTGCACTAGTTTCCTAGAAAGAAAGAAAAATATGATATTTTAAGAAAAATGACATTTTTTCGCATCTGCATGTATTATGGGTTACACATATCTGCAATTAAGCTAAAAACATGAGCACTTGCATTTATACACTGCTATGTTTTTTCTTTCTTGATCTTTATGACCATTTGTTTTATAATAGTATACATTTATTCAATAAGGTACTCCCAAAAAAAAAAAAATAATAAAAATAATAATAATTTTGAAATTGCTTCAGGTTCTTATTTGTGCTTTCTTTTAATTGTTTGTCATTTCTCATCTAATTATTTGAAGTTCTAGCTATATAATTTTTTTTTTCTCTTCTCCTAGGTGCTTGAGTTTTGATTGGACTTGAAGATATTTGTCGACTCAACAACTACGTGACGCTGCAAATTATTAAATGCAACTTTTCTCATTTAAATGTATTTTATTTTAAGAAGACTATGCATGATTTGCAATGGCTATCCTATCTTATAAACTCTAAGAATAAGCTTAACATATAGTTATCCAGTTTAAATTGCAATGTGATACAAACAAGTTGTAGTATTATAATCAATTTGGTTTAAGCTTATTTTGAGAAGTCATAATTTTAATTGAAAAGCCAAAAAATTATTATAAAAAAGTCAACTGTATAAACAAAAGGTGTAGCATTTGTGGCTCAACATTGGAATAGTATCAAGAATCTAAGCGAACAACGGATGCTCGATTTGCTAATCTACGTGAAAGACTAAGGGTCTAATTTCAAAATACAAGAAGATCAAAAATGGAATCAATTACTAGAAGAGAAGGACACTGCAGTAAGAACCTTGACAACAAAGAATTCAGAGCTTCAAGAAAGAGAGAGCACAAGCCAACTGAGACTAAGGATGTTGGAGGTTGAAAAAGAAGATAATGAAAATACAATGCAACAGTTGAGTGATTCAATTTCAAAGCTTGAAACTGAAAATACTAGTTTGCATGAACAAATTGAAGATTTATCTATCCAACTAGCAACACAACCATACCAAACACCAAAATAAGTTCACCTCCAAGGTCAATGAAAATCTTGAACCGCAAAAGGTTATGTTATTGTGTCAACATAACTCAGCGAAATTTCTATTTACTGAATTTCACAAAAGTGCAACAAGAGCTAGTAGTAGACCAACAACAAGTGAAATAAGTGCAAGAGACAAACCAACAACAAGAACCACACAAGAAGGACAAAGACAATAGTAATTTTCTTTGGAATTTGAAATTTCTCTGATCACATTAGTCTCCAATTATTTTCTATGGCTTCTTTATTTTTCTCTGTTTCTTTGCTTCCATGTGTGTGTAATTTTCTCTAGATTTTGTAAATTCTCTGACCACATTGATTTTTGTGGCTTGTTTGATTTTCACTATATACAGTTGGAATGCAAGTGCAACAACAGCCAATAGGCTAAAAAGAAAGAATAGTAGACAAACAACAAGCAAAAGCAAAGACAAGAGTCTATGGTAACTGAAAATATTGACTTAAATAAATTTACATATTGAATTCTAATTTAGTTACTTTAGAAAAATTTATGTTTTATTGAAATTTCACTGTCGTACTATAGTGAAAAAAGATCCTACATCCATGATAAAGAATTTGAAGGCAAAGGAAAGGAAAGCAAAGCAAAACCCTGACTTCGAATATCCCAGAGTTGCAAAGATGACTAGAGCTTCAAAGGAAGATGCAAAACCAATAAACCAAACTGCCAAAGATAAAGACATTTTTGATGTCGATGACTATGTCTAGCCTCAACCAACAAATCCCATAAAATTTTGGGTAGCGTTTGGTAGAGTTTTAGAATTATGATTTGAAAATAGAGTTGTATTTTGAGTTTGTGAGTTTTGGAATTATGATTTGATTGTGGAAATTTATTTGGTTGAGTTTTGAATTGAGTTTGAAATTTTTGATGTGATATATAATATTTGATTCAAAAACTTACAACTCATAACCAAACACATAACCCAAAATTTTATTCAAAGCTCATAAAACAATTTTAAAAAATTTTGAAAATATTTTTTATTTAAAATATAAAAATAACAGGTGCAAAAAAAAAAAAAAAACACGAACACTGTTCCGGTCAATCGGCTAGATGTCCGGGGGGACGTTTGGGAGGATGACAGGTAGACGTGTTTTAAAAAGTGGGTGTGAAATCAACTTTTGAAATTCTAACCAAGGGGTGGAATTGCGTTTGGAAGTCTCCACCAAGCACAACCTTGGATTTTCTCATCAAGTCTACCGGTTACAAAACTACTCAAAGAACATGTCAAAGATATCTTGCAGCACATATCGAATGTGTTTAGACTAGAGTAAGTACAACAATTAAAGTATAAGATAACAAACATTAGTTTACTAACTTATATTGCATTAAAAACTGTTAAATCCCTTCTTTGTCATCTTGTAAGGCTTTTATTTGGACAAGCGAGTTGTGTTAGGATATGACCCTTCCTAACCAAGATCGATACTTCACTCGTAGAATCTTTTGGCATGTCACTTGTAGAATATTTCAGATACCCCCTTCATTTTACAATACGTGACCCCCCTTTTAATATTGGAATTTTCAAGTCGATACTTCACCATCCATGGCACCTGTTTGTCGTTAATTGAACAATAACCATTCCCATAATAGACTAACTCGCATTGACAATCTACTGGGAAAATAAACCATGCCGGCAAACTGTCATTACCGTCTAACCTCCGATCATAAACATTTACTCTGACCAACCCACTAGCATTGGGTGCGCAAAGGGGGGAATGGTGAGACACGAAATAACAAACAAGAAAAAAATTAACGAATCAAACAAATCACATACACACGAACACAAGGATTTACGTGGTTCACCCTAGAATAGGGTTATGTCCACGGCTATTGTGGTTTTCACTATGATCAGAAAATACAACTCTCTCTAAACCTAAAAGAGGCGCCCCTCATCTATTTGTAAGTATAGAATTAGGGTTGCACGGAAGCACATGGGAATTATGAAAGTACCCCCTGGACCCCCCCTCCCCCTTGGGGGGAGGCCTCCCCAAACCCCCTATTGGACCCAGTGTTTGAGTGAACAGTAAGGTTGAGTGAACAGTACTTATCCGGGTCCACCGACACAACAAGTTGAATCTCATTTCTTTTGAAGATACTAAAAACCTAATAAAGGAAAAGGAAATTGCCAACCATGTAAGTCCATTAAATTTCTTTGTCATGCTACATAAGCCTTTATAAAACAATGTTACAATTATAAATGATATTTTTAGGTCATTGATGGTTACAGAAAGATACTCTTTGCTGACCAAAAGAGAAAAGGACAGTAAACAACTTCATTTTTTTTTTCACATGCATGTGCTTGGTATGTTACTTAGTACTCTCTTATTTGATTTTCACTAGAATTTACTTACTGTTTGTAACGGCTTGGGTCAAGACCCAACCCTTGTTCCTTTTTGTATAAAGATAGTTGTATTAAAAAGGTTTTCTGTCGAAAATTGGACTTACCTCGAAAATTTTCTACATATAGAAATTGGATTTTTCAAAACCTATGATTTTCAAAATAATTTTTGGCGGTAATTGTTCCTTATATATTAAATAGCCTAATTTGATTTTGTGAGATTTTTTTAATTTGATTTGATTTTACGTCAACGTCAAACTTACAAATTTCAGTAAAAAAAATATTTCTGTACTAAAATTGGGGGAACCATTTTTTGATTTAATTGGATTTTTATTTTTTTTTTTATTTCTTTAAATCCAAATGGGGGTATTTCCTTATTTACATTGTAAGCTTAAGTAAATGAAATATAAATGTAAGAGACTAAATGAAAACATTTACTTAAATGATTACAAGTGGAAATAAGGATAATGTGTAGGGAGTGCCATAGGAAATGAGATTGTGAGGCTATGTCTGTCTAACAAATCTCAATTCACTCGAGCACAGCAATGAGTGCTCGAGTGATCTGCTCCTTACGCTTGAAATTTTTGGGACCCTTCATTCTTTGCTTGAGTGCAAGAGTGAGTGCTCAAGCGGTCTGTTTGGAATCAGCCACTTAAATTCGATCTTTTGCTTCATTTTTTCTCACTTTTTCTTTCTCTTTTCTTTCCCTCTCTTCTTGTCCGAAAAACCCTACACCTAAACCCTTAATTTCACCCATTTTCTTCAAGAGATCATCCAAGATCTTGTCCTAAAGACGAAGAGGAAGTGAAGATCAACGTTTCTTTTTTTGGGTGAATAAGTAATAAAATAAAACAGGAAAATTTACACGAATACAAGGGGCATACCCCAGTCCCTACCACAAACTACAACAGCAACACCCAAACTGAAAAAAAACAAAACCTACCAAAAACAAAACCCCAGGCCCTACCACGAATACAAGATCAACGTTTCTATCGATTGAATGGCATCATCTTCGAAGTTCTCCTTGGGTTTTCATCTTCGAAGTTCTCCTTGGGTTTTCATCTTCTTGTCTCTATATTCGAGGTAGGGTTACTTTTTTAGTATATCTATGATTCGAGATGTATATGTGGTAATTTCTTAGTTATACTTATGTATGAGATGGATGTGTTAGATTAGGATGTTGATGCACAAAAAGGGATTTTCATCCAAGATTTGGAAAAGTTTTGAATAACTATTGATGGTAAAGGTTGTTGATGATGA